TTAATTAATTATTATAAAATGGCCAAAAGCTTAATTTTGAGGCTGGTGGTGTGTTTTTAATAAGAAAAATTTGTAAATGCTAATAATAAGGAGGAAAATCGTAATTCATTCCGACTCTATTCGAGATACGACACACGATATCTCCGTTTATTTCCCCAACCCGTTCACCTTTAAACAAGAAAATTAAACAGCATCAACCCCCTAATACAAAACCTCCCTGCAAAATATCAAAAATTTTCGATAAAAAGCACAGAAGTTATTAAACTTCAAACAAGGTGAACAAAGTCGTGCCCCACACTTACACACACACTAACACTAACAGAAAATATTCCGAATTTTTTCGACGTTTTAAGGTGTCCTAAATCCAAAAATGTATAAATATTGGAGGTGAGATTGTTATTTTTTTTTTTTTTGACCGATCGCCATACATTTCCTCTGTTATATATAACTGCTGAGAAAATAAACATTACAGTATTTAAAATGTTTGCTCTAATACTCAAATTATTACTGTAGTGCCTTGCCCCTGTACATCATACTTTTCCTTGTATACAGGTGTTGTGCCGGTCGTCTATCTAACACATTTCCCGGATAAATTTTTGACAGTGGGAATTTATAGGTCTACAGTTTATTTTTTCAAATTACAGTTTAATCGCTACAGTTAACTCTTGAATAATGAAAACAAATTATTTATCATATCGTTCATAATTTGTATCAAACATCATTAATATTTAGTGACCCATGACCCTTTCTTGTTTAGAAACAGAAATGAATGACATAGTAGAAATACAGTCGACCCCCCTATAACACTGTTGATAATTCCGTTTTATATGAATTTCATGTTGTACGAGTCACTTAGATTTTACAAATACGTGTGCCAGGCTATGAACGGCTCACGTATTTGTAAAATCTAAGTGGCTCGTACAACATGAAATTCATATAAAACGGAATAATCAACAGTGTTATAGGGGGGTCGACTGGTATTTACTTATTGAGATCGATTAATATGATTAACATATTGGCAATGGAGCGTTATCTATGGGCAAAAAGGGCTATTGTCTGGGGGTACCAAATAAGAAAATATTTCCCCCCCAAAAAAATTCTCTTGAAGAAAAATATATGAAGTTAACACTGGGCCCTATGAAACTACAACGCTCCATTGGATATTGAGAACAAAATTACCACTTGATATCTATACAAAATGTATTTAAGATATAAATTCTAATCCCATCGTTAGTTGGAGAACTTTTACGTTGAATAAGAACGTCATGTTCTTATTAAATGTTCTGTAAGTAAAGAAAATAAACACGCCGTCCTCGACATATTTAATACAAAAGTTACTTCTAAATAACTCACGGTATCCATACTCTTGTTGAACTAACGATGAAATTAAAATATATTTGAAGTATACTTTAAATTAACAATATGTATTATAATAATAATAGAAAAATTGTTTAATTCTGTTATATTCGTGTGTACAAGGATATTCTTTTTACAGAAAAACAAGTTATAATTATGTAACCTTACAGGAAACGTTTCGGTAGAGTTCTCCCATACGACTTCTGGAAGTTTAGAGAATTTTTTATTATTATTTTGTTAATAATTAATGTGAGAATTGCAAGTGTCAATTATAATCCGCATCCCGTCTACAACGATTAAAAAGAATTCCTGTAATATATATAAAAATAAATAAATAAATAAAAGACAGAGAATATACACAAATAGAAACGTTTCTTTGTATTATGTAAGATAAATTATATAAAAAAATAAAATTTAACAGGATACTTTTTNAGAATTTTTTTTTATTCTGTTAATAATTAATGTGAGAATTGCAAGTGTCAATTATAATCCGCATCCCGTCTACAACGATTAAAAAGAATTCCTGTAATATATATAAAAATAAATAAATAAATAAAAGACAGAGAATATACACAAATAGAAACGTTTCTTTGTATTATGTAAGATAAATTATATAAAAAAATAAAATTTAACAGGATACTTTTTCAACAAAAAAAAGAAAGAATAGCTCAACTAATGATACAATAAAATTTTAATTAAAGTTTCTTAGCTTAAAAAATAAAATAAAATAATTGTTAATTGTTAAATGGTTTTTTTAAAGGGTTTATTAATTAAGCAATAATTTATTTATTCTAAAACTATTTTTTTTTTTTGAAGAAAAGTAAATAATATATTCAATTTAATGAATTTCTTCTTTTATTAATTGTTATATCAACTTGTGTGAAGATACTTAGAATCCATTTGTCTTATGTAATGTTATAACATTGATCATTGAAATTTAATGTCTTCTTGTTAATTCGACTTCTTAATTATCTGGAATATCCCCCACATGTGCTTGTCTCTTATTTGTTTTCTTTTTAATACAGGTAGACCCCCTCCTATAAGACTGTTGATAATTCCGTGTTGTATGAATTCCATGTTGTACGAGTCAATTAGATTTTACAAATACGTGAGCCGTTCACAACCCGGCACACGTATTTGTAAAATCTAAGTGACTCGTACAATATGGAATTCGTATAAAACGGAAAAATCAACAGTGTTATAGGG